CTGGTGCTAGATGATGTTGTAGGTTTTTGGTGCTGGTCTGTGGGTTGACTCTGACTGTTCTCACCATTCGTCGCTTCTGTCTGTCCGAGATTTTTCTTGGTCTGCCACTTTGAGCCTTAACTTGAACTGAGCCTGTGGTCTTCTATTTTCTCAATATGTTCCTAACTGTGGAAACAGACAGCTTAAATCTCTGAGACAGCTTTCTGTATCCTTCCCCTAAACCATGATGGTGTCTCCAGGTCATTTGAGAGTTGTTTTGAGACCCCCATGTTGCTACTCTTCAGAGAAAATTAAAAGACGAGGGAAACTTACAATTGACCCTCTTAAATACTCTTTCTCGTTATTGAATTCACCTGTGTATGTAGGTCAGGGGTCACTGAGCCTACCAAGCAAATTTATATTTAATAATTAGTTCTAAAGGTTTTGGAATCAATAAAATGACAACAGTGCCCAGATTTATGCACCTGCCTGATTTTGTTTAAACAATTGTTGCACACTTTCTGTAAATCCAATAAACTTCATTTCACTCCTCAAATATCACTGTGTGTGTCTCCTATATGATATATTTAACTGACATTTTTTATTGTAACAACCAACGATTTATACAGGAAAACGATGACTATTAACAAGGTTCCCCAAACTTTTGCATCCAACTGTATATAACTATCATTAGCTTACAGCTTGAAGTGTTTAAGGTATGTGCTAACTAAAAATAAAGACAAAATGATAGTTTATTAATTTTTTAATAAAATTTGTAGATTGTCTCAGTGGAGTTTTAATAAACTCGACAGTTTGTTCTTTCTATGTAAAATATAACAGGACCCTGGAGTAAATTCTCTACCATTTCACACTTATGTTTAATCAGTTCTCTGTCTGACATTTGTTCAACTATGTAAAAACTATAACTTTAATCTCATCCAAATAAAACACTGAAAAAAGCCAAGCAATAATATTTTCAAACTATCTGGGTGACTTATATATCATGTTTAACCTGAGTAGCGAAAAACCGCGGTGGGTTTGGATATGATGTGCTGGGAGTTCACTGTTCTCGCCGGCTCTAGTGAGTTTGAACCCTCTAGCTATCGAGCTGGTGGGTAACAGACGTCTCTGAAAACGTCAGAGCAAATATGTGGTGTCTTGATAAACCGAACAGATATTTGAAGTTTACACAGCTACATTCTCGCCTGAAAATATGTTAAAAGTTTATTTTGTGACCAAGAAAGAGTAATACGAGTAATCTTAAAACTAAGTGGTTTGTTGAAAACTGGAATTAGCTGAGCTGTGCTATGAATTCTGAGATATGTCGGGCCACAAAGGACACGCCTGACCCACCCTTCAAATCTGGGGAAATGAAGAACACATTTTTCAACCGCGTTTGGGGGAGTCTTCGAATTTGGACAGGCTTCGCCATGTCGCTGTAACATAATTGGGCTACAAATGCGGCCTCCGAAGGATGCGGCCACTAAATTTGGACACAGCTATGAAACCGGAAACTGGTTCTTCTTTTTCGGGGTTTAACGGCGGCTGGCATCCCTGGACATGCAGTGCTGCCGTCTTCTGTTTCAGCCCATTATTACAATCTTAAATCCTACTACTTATTTAATAGTCGACGTAATCGTGACTAGTCGACTTATCGTGGCAGCCCTAAAGTGTACGTACATGTGTTTTTATTTATTATATATATTAGGGGTGCAACGATACACAAAATTCACGGTTCGGGTCGATATTTTTTCGATACAAAAAAAATGTTCATGCCTTTTTAATTTGTCATTTATTAAAATTATAAATATATATTTTAACTCAAATGTACAGTTTTTAAATTTAATGTTGCTGAAACAACAAAATAATAAAAAAAAAATCTATCTGATCGAGAAATCACTCATCTTTGGAAAAAAGAGTTTATTACAGAGAAATGGCTCTTTCCAAAATAAAACCTACACTATCCGCTTCTTCTGGGCTATACTCTCAGCAGCATATTAAACATATCAGGTCCCCATAAGGAGAATCCTGTGCTAACGGCTGTCTAAATGACTCAGGTGAAGTTTGTAGCATGCGTGCTTGTTGTCTGCTTCCACTTGTCTTTGCACTAGGATGATGTCGGCGTAAATGTGCAGTCATATTCGTTGTGTTCCCACTAGTGCTGTCAGCGTTAATCTCGTTGAAATGACGTTAACGCCACAACACGGCAAATCTCCGTTAACGAGCTACCGGGAATCGCCCCGTGCGTTGGGCTGGACGGCGTCAACATGTTAACGAGCTAACTGCGCTAACACAGTAGTTCCCACCAATTAAGCATTGCGTGGCACATCCAACATACTGTTTTACTTTAGTCCATGACTCGCTTACCTTCAGGGTCATACGTCACATGAAAACCAAAAGAGTTCCAAACGCCAGATCTGAATGAGGGTGGGGGAGGTCCAATTTCCCGTGTTGAAAGGAGAGCTTAACTTCTGCCTAGCTAGCTTGCCCTGCGCTAAGTGAATCTGCGTTCGACTACTCCGCCTAGGCTGCACTGTTGAGCGCAGATCCACTGAGCGCTCAACACAGACAGCATCGTCAGAAGGAAAGTTGATCAAATAAATTAAAAATGTTGTATTGTTCGATACATATGCGTACCGAACCGAAAGCACTGTATCGAACGGTTCAATATCGATATGAGTATCGTTGCACCCCTAATATATATGTATACTTGGGTGTGTGTGTGTGTGTGTGTGTGTGTGTGTGTGTGTGTGTGTGTGTTTTGCTGGGTTTCACTGCTCGGGCCCACTTATGTTCATCATGGGCTACATAAACTTGGGTAAAAGATAAAGTTTTTTAAAAAACTGGACAGTATACTCAGCAACCATCGTCAGTTAAAACACTTGTGGAATACATTATGTGATGTGTGTAGCATTTTGTGAGAGTCTGGTGGGCGACAGAAACAACAGCAGGAAAATATTTGCTCAATAAACAAAAGTTTATTTTTATATTGTTTTTCACAGCCACATTGTTCTTCACATAAACACAAAATGCACAGAAAGAGATTCACAAATAAACAAAAAGAAAAGTAAAAGACAAATAAAAGCTGACCTCCAATGATCAATTACAAAACAATGAAGTCAACAGCATGAATAAAATACACATTTGCTCCACAGGTTACAGGAAAAATTAATCTACAAATGGCAAAAAAAAAGAAAAAGAAAAAAAAAAGAATAAAACAAATTTAAGTCAGGCTGAGAAAGCGCTCTGGTTTGAATAAGCCTTTAATGGTGATGGTAATACTGGAAATACTGATGCAGCAGACAGACTTCATGCCTTCTTCATTTTGGCAGTGACTACAGAGGAAAAACAGACAAGCAGCAGCTTCAGTTTTTCTCTGTAAATACTTTGCATTTATTTCTGTGTGTTTCTTTTAGCACGACTTACGATCTTTGACCCACTGAGCATCTGGATCAGCACAAAGTTGTCCCTTTTTTGTGTCAAAACTGGAAGTAAAAGACAGAAAATTATAGAGATTGTATATGTTTGTATGTAGGACAACAAGTGCTGACTTACATTATAGCCTTCACACAGTGTCCTCTTGCAGCCTGCTCACGATATGTTTCCCCCACCACCTCAGCAGTCCTATTGCCTTTGGTGACTGCAGGGCAGCATGGTGGTATCCTTCCAGGATGACGACGACGAGTACCTGAGAGATTAAAGGTTAAAAATGGAATTTTCTTACCTGAGAAAAGTCTAATTAGAAGGAAAATAAAAGTTAAATCTAGTTTTAAAATATGAAGCTCCTTACATCACTAAACAGAAGGTGACTTTCAAAATGTGACCTGAAATTATGTTACAGTGCACAGGCATTTTTTGTGCAAATCAATCAACAAGTTTAACAAATCAATGTTCTCAACACTTCGGGGCCCTCGATTACTTTTTGGGCAATTCTGGCATTATGTTAATTAAGTGAAAGGTGAAAAATATTTTCTCATAGCTGCAAGATATTATCTTATACTCTCTCTGTGTCTCTCTCATTTTCTGCTTTCATGCCTTATGCAATGAGTCACTGAAATGATGACTTTGCTAAAAACTAAAATGAAGCAGTGAGATGTAGTTACAGAGTGAATTTGTTTGAAGGAAACCACTGCACCAACTGTGCTACACTAATCAGTTGGCAGTTATGATAGTTTAAGTGTCTTACAACATATGCCTGGCATGCAACGCAGCGTGAGACATAACCCCATAAGTGACAGAAAACAAAAGTTTGCATGTAGATAAACATAAATAGTACAAACATTGTTAATGGTAAGCAGTATAGCATGAATGGATATGGTGTGGCTGTCAATCAGTCCAGCAATTGAACACAAAAATCAGGTGAATGTCGTGCTTATAAAATAAAAATCTCCAAGACATCTTCTAAATGTAGACATAAAGGACGCCTTTAAAATGCTATCACTGACTAATGACTTAACTTAGCCCAGAAAACAGCTTCCAGGGTGTCTGGAGCTTTGTGGGTAGAAGTTGAGTGTAAATACTGAAAAACACATGTGCAATTATAAATGGCCTGTATTTATATAGCGCTTTACACATCCAGTCATCCACACATTCACACACTGGTGATGGCAAGCTACATTGTAGCCACAGCCACCCTGGGGCGCACTGACAGAGGCGAGGCTGCCGGACACTGGCGCCACCGGGCCCTCTGACCACCATCAGTAGGCAACGGGTGAAGTGTCTTGCCCAAGGACACAACGACCGAGACTGTCCAAGCCAGGGCTCGAACCGGCAACCTTCCGATTACAAGGCGAACGCCCAACTCTTGAGCCACGATCGCCCCATTTATAGACTGAGCAGATACCAGAATATGACTGATGTAAAGGTTTGTGGTCTTTACACAGTGGTCCTGCCCAATAAACCACCAAAATATCACAAGTGAACCTTATTCACAAACAGGCAGCAGCCATTGTTGGAAATATTCATTGCTGTGATAAATTTATCTATTTGATCTCTTTTTTCCTCATTTTTCTTTATAAAAGTAAGAGCACAGTTACCTTCAGAGGAGTGGCAGCACACACACACCGAGAGCAGGAGGAGAGTGATGGAGAGGATCTTCACAGTCATTTTCACCGGCGGTCTGGCTCACTGATCAGGTTGAAACTATACGCTGACCAATGCTTGGTTATTTATTGGTAAGTGTAGGAACATCTGCAGGCAGAACTGCTGACGTATTTCTGTAGGTCTTTGCATTTGTGTGTGCGTGGTTGTGGCATATCACACCTCCGCCTCATATCATTGAGAATTCAGTATTTCAACCTATCAACACCTCACTGAGAGCTTTCTGAGAAACAGCCTCACACAAAGTTCACAGATGCTCAAATATGGTCAAGAGCCTGATGATTGATACCAGTACTTTGTGCATTTTCATGAGTAATGAGCCTAAACCTCCTGATTATTATTATTTTTTTCCATTTTGACTGTCTGACAGTGACTCTTTTTCTCTTGTAGTTACAAACTAAACATGCGGCCCCCTCATCCACATGGCTGAAAAAAGCAACATGGAGGCAGAAAAAACCTTTAATACTGGTTTCCAGTTTCCAGGAGAACTTGCAGGACAGTCCAGGATGACTGTGGCTCTGTTGAGGTGTTGCTCAAATATTAAAATCTAATAAAAACAATAATCAAATCTACAGTGTGGAAAAGCAAACTGAACTTGCATCTTATTGTACTGTACACACACACACACACACACACACACACTAAACCACTTCCTCATTACAGATGATATATATAGAAAGTTTATCAGTCCCACACATTCATGACATTTTATAAACGACTTTGTTCTGGTATTTTTTAATCATAATTTTTACAGAAAGTCTCACATCATGGTGGAGGAAAAGTTTAGCTGATTGAGGTTTTGAGTCGTTCACTTATGCAGAGCTGTCTTTAGGTCCGGCCACAGCGTTTCCATCAGGTTGAGGTTTACACTTTAACTGGGCCATCGCACCACGTTCTGTTGTGGATTTGCTGATGATAATTTTAAAGCTCCTTTTCCTTTGCATAAAATAACTGCATAGTGCTGGTTAAACTTCAAAGTTATATTTGGTGTAACTACAGAACTAAGAAAATGTGTAGCAGATGAAGGAAACAAAGACAAATGAAACAACGTTGCCCCGAGGCAACAAACCACATTTTCATGCCTTACACTGGCCCTTCAAAAAAAACCACATTTTTTTTTCTTTCAAATAATGCTACCAGGCACATCTCCTTCCAATAAAATGATGAGTTGAAGGTGGTGTGACTTTTATTTGGGGGGGGGGGGGGGGGGGGGCATTCTGCAAGCTGCACTACATGAGAGACATCTCCATTAGGAGGCAAGATAAGGATCACTATTTTACATGTTTATAGTGAAATAAATGTATATTAAAAAAAAACTTGTATGTGCATGAATATGTTAAGAAGCATATTTGATTGTATGTTCTACTTTTTTAAATTTATTTATACAGTAAAACTGTTAATTTTCATTCGTTGTCTCAAACCCAGTTTTTTTTTCAGGCAATAATAATAATAATAATAATGGATTGGATTTATATAGCGCTTTTCAAGGCACCCAAAGCGCTTTACAATGCCACTATTCATTCACTCTCACATTCACACACTGGTGGAGGCAGCTACAGGTGTAGCCACAGCTGCCCTGGGGCAGACTGACAGAAGCGAGGCTGCCATATCGCGCCATCGGCCCCTCTGGCCAACACCAGTAGGCGGTACAATACAATGCATTTGCATATGTGTGTAGAGATGTGTGCATTTATATGATCATAGTCAATGTTTTTCCTTTACAATCTGCTCATAATTACAGGACATGGATGTAAATACCTTTTATGGAAGGAAACCAAGGGAATGTGCACTTTCTGTCCTCAGAAAGTGAGGACAGTGAGCTTTTAGGGAGTGACGGTTAGGAGCTCAGGGGTCAGTTGGTAAAGTAACTGTGTCTGTGTGTGTGTTAGTGCCCACATAGCAAGCAGGTCTGGCCAGGATCTGGTATCAAGTCGGCAGTGCTGGCATCCACATATAGGCCAGGCCTGGCATAGATGGCACTGTCTATGTGATGGCATGCCATATCTGGCTTGATTGTGGCTTGGTTTATGTGGCCCAGGCCTACAGAAAACAGGTCTCTGCTGTCCAATTTTATGAATGATATATTATTAGGGACCCTAAAGCAACCCCCAAAATAGGGAGAAATACTTTTTTCCCCAAATTAAAAAGTCATGTAGTAGAGGGTTAAAAGTTGCAGGCGACACAGGGACATTAATGGATAAAAATAAGAAATGTACTGATTTCTTGGATTGCACACGTTTTAGTTAAAAGTTTTAAATAAAATAGAAAGCAAACAACAAAGAGCAACATAATAAGAAAAAAAAAGGAAAAAAAAAAAGCACCATCACAATAAACTAGCTTGCTTTCTCTTCTGTTTTTTTTTCTCCATACAGGTGACCCAGGTGTTTTGTTTTTTTGTTTGTTTGTTTTTTTTTTCTTTCTTCCCCCCCTTCTCACCCTCTCTTCTCCCCTTTGGTTTTCTTTCTCTCCCTCTCTTTCTTTCATTCTTTCCCCCTGTCCTATCCCCCAGTCATGTCTGTCCCGTTTGTAGCAACTGAAAATAAAATAAATTCATAATTATAATAAAGGTCAATCAAATGGACCAATATGGCAAGGCCATGATGATCCACTTGGTAAAATAAATCCGCTTGGCATCTTTCTTGGCCTTAAGACAACAATTCTGATGGCTATAGATCCAAACGGGACAAAAAAAAAAAAATTTTTTTTAAATAAAATGCGTTGTAGGTTTCTGGGAGATTATTAAGATATGAGATTTATTGAATGACTGGTGGTCAGAGTTTATTTGGAAATACTTTTCAGAGTGAGCTTTGCAAAACAGATAAATGGAATCATAAAAGCAAAAAATAAAGAATAAAAGAAGATTTGAAACTAAATATGTAACTAAACTTAAAAAAAAAGAACTCAGTTGGTCCGTCTAAGCACAGATTGATGTCCAGCCTTAGTCGTCACTTTAAAGTCACACAAGACTCAGATGTAGCATCAAGAATAAAATCAGAATCAGAATCAGAAAGGGTTTTTATTGCCAAATGTTGAGCAGGTTTTCAACATTAGGAAATTGCTGCAGTGCGATGTGGACAGAATTAACAGAGTAACGTAACAAAAACATTTCAAAGAAAAGTTTGAGATAAGGAGATACTGATGACCCGACAGGCAGCGATGCTTCACCTCACACTTTGTACTTCATACCCTCGTCATCCTCACAATGACTGGACAGGAAAGAGAGACAAACAGGAGTTTCAGTTTGTTTCTACAAATACTTTTATTGTGTGTGTGTGTGTGTGTGTGTGTGTGTGTGTGTGTGTGTGTGTGTGTGTGTTTCTTTTAGCGTAACTTACGATCTTTGACCCACTGAGCGTTTGGATCAGCACAAAGCTGTCCATATTCTGTGTTGAAACTGGAAATAAAGAGAGAAAATTATACAGATTGAATGTGTTTATGTTTGTGTGTAGGACGACACATGTGCTGACTTACATTATAGCCTTCACACAGGGTGGTGTTGCGGCCTGCTGACGATATGTTTCCCCCACCACATCAGCGCTCGTATCTTGGCGGGTGACTTCAACACAGCACGGTCTCTTCTGGCGACGAGCTGATTAGGAGAAGTTTAAAACTGAATATATTTCGCCCACAGGAAGGAAACTCAAAGTGAAATTCGGGTTTAAAATGTTATAAAACTGCTAACAAGAGTAAACAAAAGCTGACTTTTGAACCGTTACCAGACATTAAGTGACATGAAATAGTTTATTTTGTGCCTCACCTTGTAGGTATTTCTACTAATGAGAAATTTACTGCAAACATTATAAAAGTATTAACAAAGTAGCTACTTACACCAGTCTATGTCCTCATTCTAGACACTATATTCTTCAAGAATGCTAAACAGTAAGAGCAGAGGCCTGTATCTGTACCTGTGTCACTTCTTACTGGGCTATATTTCCATGGGGGTTTTTAAGCAGCATCTAATGTTTGTGTTTCCCTTTGACTTGGATGGGTATTAATTTGTACTTGCTGGCTTTCTATACAATTTGCACATAATCTAAGCCCATGTTTGATTTCTGTTTTTTGTATTCAATCTTCACTCTTAGCCTGTTAAACAGCACCGAGGCTACAGCTGAAAGAACAAAAAACGAATGCACTTCCTGAATCTTCTTACTGCTGACTGTTATGCAGCAGATGTCCAAATCTTTTTTGGAACACAAATGACATTTTACAAAGTGAATTTTAAACAGAGAAAAGCCAGTTGAAAGCTCTTACATGGAGTCTGAAGTTTAATCTTACCGTCTGATCCAGAGATGGCCCCAACCACCATGACTGTGCAGACCAGCAGTAACAGGCTTCTAGAGTTTACCATTTTCAAAAAGCTTGAAGAACAGTGAGTAAATGATTTGTTCCCCTTTGATCTGCCTTCTTCTCCAGAGTGAAGCGTGAAGAAATAGTTAAGGTCTTAAAAGCAGAAGTGATTCCTCCAGTTATTCGGCTCAGCTTTTTCTGTTTCCTCCTCCTCTCTCTTCTTACAAATAAATTAAACAGTGATTTAAGAGGAACTTTACAAAATGAGACGACGTTTCATCACACAGTTCTTAGATTGTGGAAGTTTGTGAGGCGTTCCACAGAAGCGGGAAGTCATGACATGACATATTTCATCAATGCATTTGTTGTAGAATTGTTAAGAAAAAGTTTAGTAAATCAGTTATTTAACGTAATCTAAATTTAATGTAACCTAAAGGACCTAAAGTATAATATTTTTATTTAAAATTAATTATGAATAAAATACTTTTTCAAACTGGGAACCTGTTCTTAATTTTTCTGTAGCATTTATCTCACAAAACCTTCTTTGGCAAATATTCTGGACATGCTGCAGTCCTGGCTTTAAGATTTTGTTTTGTAAATAGGAAAATGAATGCAGACATTCTGATGTCAGTCCTTGCTTTCAGGCTCGAGTGTTAGTGTTTTGCATTTTTACCACGTGCAAGCATACAAACTCAAAGATCTTACATTTTATTGGAGATAAAGTATCTGAATTTTAGGAGCGGGACAATGCCTCCAAACATGCTTCTTCTGGTTCTTATCTGTATATGTTCCCCCAGTTCTACAATCTGCTCATTCTAATTTACGTGACCCCCTCCTTCACCTGTTCAATTCTTTAACTTTTTCACTTCTATTTAGTACAGAAATCCATCATTGGGGATCTGCCAGGCCCAGGAGCCGCCGCCAGTCCCTTCAAGTCCTTCCCCAAACCGCAGCTCAATTCATGTCCGTGACATTCACCTTTATCCACTAAAACACTGTCAAACCTAAAATGAGGACGTGGGCCCAGCTGGAGAAAGTCTCTTTTATGCCTTTTTTGTCTGTGCAGGTTATTTAGATATGAAAACTAACTTCAAAAAATTGAATATAAAGGGGTAGAAAACTTCGGACATGAGTTATGTTAAGAGGATAGTTACTATTTAACAACATTTGCACTTTACCTGGTTTACAGTGTAAACATTA